TGCGCTCTCCAGAAGCCTGGCCAACTGGGTCATGCCGCCCTAGCCAAACGCCAGTGGATGCGCCATGGCCTCCCTGCCTGCCCCAGAGGCCTGGCTGGAAAATGGCCATGCAATAAGCATGGTGTGGGGAAGGCCAGGGTGGGGTTTTAGATTTGTGATGCCCAGAGCAGCCGGCTGAGAGGTAAAACTGTAGTCAGCTGGCTAACGGACATCGTGTAGCTCCCAACTGCGTTGGCGATAGCCAACTTTGAAAAACGGAACATACCGCAACACGGATGTTTACTCGGATGCTAAGTACAGAACACTGTATCCCATTCAAACCCTGTTCTGAAACATTCCAATGTCCAACGTCGACTTCAAGGGATTATTTCCCATTCTGGGGAAGCTCCGAGAGAAAGGCACGGTGAGTACAGCATCTCCAGGACAGGAGGAGAGAAAGGAAGAACTATAATTGAACGGTATGACTCAGCTGTCTACCCACTTCAGTCCTCTGAAGAGAAACTCTTGTTTAGAGCCACGTAATTTTCCTGGAAGAGATTTAGTGCAGAGGGGAGGAAAGGTCGTTCACATCCAGTGAATGCCTTTGGCGGGGAGGCAGTTAGGATGTTCAGTCCTATTCCTGGCAGATGCCTATGGTCACCGAAGCCAAAATGAAGATCTACCAATGGATCCAAAAGAGGGGACTTCCAATCAATGTTTAAAAGGGCCACAAGGAAGAATAACCACTGATATGTGTAGTGTTTGTGGTTTTCAGGGCATTTTCGTTCTCTCTTCCGAAAGCCACGCTCTTCATGACTACACGTATAATTCCCATGGCCAGGTTTGCCACATACTGACGGTTTTCCAGGTAGTGATTTCAGCAGCTCTCTTTAACATCCTATTCCTTGCAACGAAAGGCAAAGAAATGGAGCCAGCATCCCAAAGCATATGAGACATTTTAGATCGTCACTAGTGGTAAAGCCAAGGATGCTGACCACTGCGTGAAGCGGTAAACACTTACTATGTGCTAAGCAGAGTGTCAAATGATCTTGCCTATATACATTCACTTAGTCACTAAATCCTCACTATGACCCAGTAAAGTAGGTGCTAGTGTTACCTCCACTTTAGAGAGGCTTAGGTCTTTGGCCCAAGGTCATCCAGTAAGTGGCAGAGCCAGATTCAAACTGTGTTTATCCAATGACATCTGTGTACTCTCGCTCTGCCTTCCTACGCTCTGTCAACAAAGCCACACCACCTTAGCAGGCAGCACGGACCTATCTGCTTCCCAAACAGTCCCAACCTGGAAAGCAAAAAACGCAGCAGGCATGGTAGAAAGAACACACAACTTCTAACAAATATTTTCAGGGTACAATCACTATCGCTTTTTCCCTGAAATGATGTGTCTACGTGACTGTGTATCTCTGACTTTAAAGAGTCACTAGAAGGTAAAAGCTTCTGTTAAAAATGTTTTTTTTTAAACAACCTTTAGTCTCCATGGCTGACCATTTGGCATCTTTAATTTCTATATTATAATTCTCCCATTCCGGTCTCATGCTCTATTTTCCTGTTTGCAGGAATAATGCTTAGCATTTTAAACACGTCCTAACTGCTCTGTTGGTGTTTGTGCACAGGACCTGTTCAGCCTAGCCAGCGGTGGGTAGGGAGGGGGGAGGTCGTTCTGATTATGAGAGACTTGAGACTGAGATGCCATAGTAGAAACTGACATGTCTTGATCCTGTGTTTCATTTTCATACATGCATTAGAAATGCATTCTCTTGGAGTCCTTTATGTTGCAAACTCTAGCATAAGGTCTTCCAAAAGGAGCTTTTGGAAAAGACTGGTATCAACTCTCACTAAGCCTAGACAATTCGGGTCTCCTTAGGTGAGTCCAGGTAGAGTGATCATGGTTGAGATGATTTGAGACTCTCTCCAGAAAGCTAATGGCTTTTTTATTGGACTATGTCTGGATGAATGTAGCCACTGGGTTCTGAGAAAGTTTCTAAGTATAATGTCAGCTCAAAGGAATGGTGTGGTCTGGCGCCTTGGACACCACACTGAATGCACTGATGCATTTGTTTCTATGCTTTCCCTCCAATCATCCTACCACAAATAGAATCACTCTGCAATTCTGTTGCTCAGACCAGAGACCCAAACCTACCTAAGGTTTACTGGTGAGGTTCAAGTAAGACAGAGCACCTAACTTAGTATCTATCAGGCACAGAGCAAGGGTGGCTCCGTAAATGGGAGCTCTCAGCACTCCTCCTGGTGTTTCAGGCAGTATGAGGGTCCCAGTCACAAGATGAAAGAAGAGTACCATATTATCTCTGCTGTACTATGTTACCTTGCCTGAGTCAATTCAAAAGAACCAAAAACAGGTGTTCGGACAAAGACTTACACACCCATGCTCACAGCAGCACTATCAACATGTCCATCAACTGATGAACAGACAAAAGGTAGTATATTCATACGATGGAGTATCATTCAGTCATAAAAAAGGAACGAAGTACGATCTATGCTACAACACGGATGGACCCAGAAAGCATTTCAGCAAATGAAAGAAGCCACTCACAAAGGTCTCATACTGCACGACTCATTTATGTGAAATAGGCAAATCCATAGAGACAGATAGCAGATTAGCGGTTGTCAGGGGCTGAGGGAGGGGAAATGGGGAGTCACTGCCTAATGTATGTGAGATTTCCTTCCCGGGTGATGAAAATATTCTGGAACTGGTGACGGCTGCACAATCTTGCGAATGTACTAAACGCCACTGAACTGTACGCTTTTAAAATGGTGAATTTTATGTCACATGAATTTAACCACAATGAAAAAAAAGGAGAATAATTTCAATGCACCCCTCTTTGGAAAAAAAAATGTGAGGCCTCATAAAGGCCTCACTGCTTGGCACTGTCCCTTCCGCTGCTGCCTGAACATTCTCTCTTGGTCTTTAGCCTTCCTGCCTTTTCACGAGTCCTCAAACTTTCTAAGGAGGGCTCATTTGTAAATGTTTATAACCTTGCATCTCCTTCTTGCTTCCAGGGCCCAGCGAGGGGGAATAAGTTGTCATTCTGCCCTACCTTGGATCTCCCAGTTCAACCTCCCCTTCAGATGAGAAGCTCGGTTGATGAAGGCATGACTGGGCTAAGGGCGGCATGCCGCAGAGAGCTGCCAACGCACCAACCAGAATTATCTGACAGTCTCAGGACCGACACAAAGTCACCGAACGCACATCCTAAAAACCCAGATGATTGGGGCCAAGGGACCCAATGCCACTCCTTCAGGTAAATACAGAATAAAACAACTTGAGAAGGTAAAAAAGCAGATTGCGTTTATGTAATCTCATAGAGAGGAAGTCAATGTGCAAAATGTACTTTCACTTATTGTTGATTACTGCTTTAAACATTTCCATTAAAAAGTAATGTCGCATCTGTCAAAATCAATGATCTAGGGGTTTTTGTTTTGTTTTGTTTTATTTACTAACGCCGTGCTTGTCACTCATGTATTAAACGCAGAAAGCAGGAATAACCGACACTGGCATTTCAGTGTGCATTTTGCATCAGCTCTGAAGCCCATGACTCACGTAGGAGAGGGACTGCGTGCATCCAGGACAGGGACAGCGAGCCCCTGGGAGACGACAGGGCTTGTTGTTGACAAGGCCCCACAGTGCAAAGATGCAACTGTTACATCTTGCTAAAAATGCAAGCAGAATAAGGAGGAGAAAGTAAAGGCCAGTCGGGTATTGGCCACGTAACATTACAAATGACCTCAATTTTATTTTACTGTATTGTATTTTCTTTTTTCAGTTTTAAAATTACACCAAATGGTGGGAGTTCCAGTGTGGCAAACAACTATATATGAAAATGGAGTTGGTGAGCCCAGAGAGTTTTTCCCAAGCTTTTCTTTGCTGACTCCTCACAACACATTTACTGAATATGGAATTCTGTATTTTTTTTAAAGATTTTATTTATTCATTTGAGAGGAGAGAGAGAGCGCGCACAAGCTGGGGGACTAAGAGCAGAGGGAGAAGCAGACTTCCCATTGAGCAGGGAGCCCGATGCAGGGCTTGATCCCAGGGCCCTGAGATCACGACCCAAGCCAAAGGCAGACACTGAACTGACTGAGCCACCCAGGCGCCCCTGGAATTCTGTATTCGATAATGACCTTGGCGTACCAGTGCATGAGCACTCCTTAAAACGGTCTGCTTTCAGTTTCCTAACATAGCAGACTCCACCGTAAAAAGAACTTGGTCAGGCACTGGCTTTAATAAAAGGCGCTCCTTCTATGTTCCTCCTCCAAGGTTATGAACGCACCCCGGAGGAGCCCAAACGTGAGACACGTGTCACAGAGAAAACGCACACACATTGCTGACACCACACACCGTCCTGCCATTCTCACGGTTCATAAGCGATACTTGGCCTCTTCAAACCAACAAGTCCAGTCTCCCTGGGAATGCTGAAATCACGTTTCTGCCATCTCATCTGGGGGTAAGTGCTGTAAATACTTATAATGCAGAGTGGAAGAGGACGGGGCAGCAGCAAGTTTTTGCCAAACGCCTTGTGCCTGCAGGTCCGCGCACGCCGCAGGATGCTGGGTGCCGGTTCTCAGCACGTGCTCTCAGGTGGTGCACTGCAGCACTCCCATTTATGCCCTAATTAATTAATGCGTGTGGGCGGTAAGCCTCGCCTCGGAGTCACTAAAGGAAAGTCACACCTCACCCGAGACAACGCTTAGTCCAAGGGAGGGAACGACAGTCTCTCGCTTACTGACGACCTGTACGTGTGTTTGACAAGGGAGCGGAGGGAGGGGGTGAAAGCAGCTTTCAAGAGCTCAGCCTCTCATCACTGTAGCTTGAATGAAACTGAGCTGATTACTCCTGTTCCGGAACACTGTGCCTAGCTTTGCTTCTTTCCCTCTCTCTGCAGCCCAGAGATGAAGCGGAGGGTAGGCTTGTGGATGGCAAAACCCTTCCAGTCTTTTATGCTCCCTCCCCTTAGGTCCCAAACCAAGCGTGAAGCTCTTCCTACCTGGTAGAGCTCAGTGGCGGTGCAGTGAGTGGCCAAGGTCTTCACAGGCTCAAGGTCATCTTCATCACTGCTCAGCTTCAGGTCGTCCTCAAGCATCCTACAAAAAAAGCACAGTGATGTTCGTGTTAGAAGGCGTCTTTTCTAGATCATCCTCAGATACATCTTGCAATGAGGATAAAATATTGGAGCTACAATCTGACAGCTGCAATTCTGTCAAAGGTGCAGAGGGAACCAAGATTCTTTCAGCTAATTAGATATTTGAGCTCTTATATTTATGTCATACTCCACACACATCTTCCCTCTCTACCTTCCCCTAAATCAAGGGGAAAAAAGGACTATTTCAGCATCTCCAGAGATGACTGGAGTCTATATATTTTTACTACTGAAAGTGTAATAAATGTACGGATCAATCACTGTGGAGTGGAACGTGACACTGGATCTCTACAGGAAAAGATGCTCTGAGTCTCCCATGAAAGAATTGGGGCAGGGTAACGGCCCTAAGCTCTAGAGGCTGTTGTCGTAGCCTGCTGGGGCTGTCTGGACCACAGAGGCAAAGGGCCCAGTGACCTTCCACCGCCACGGTGCAGAGGGCTCTCTGGCCACAAAATAGCTGGGCGAGAAATGGCTAGTCATTAACCTTTTGATATATGACTGATCGCTTCCTGTAAAATTTGATCCTAGAGATGTAAGCCCCTGATGTGGATGAGAAATCTTTCTCTCCTAAGGCAAGGTACCTGAAAAATACGAGTGGTCTGAAATTTGGCGATGAACTAGCACTTTCAAAATTGTTTATGGGGCACACAGAGCCTCTTTTTTCTACGGCGCCGCCCGCTCTATCCCCAAACTCGAGCCACAGCAGGAAGAGTGACTTATTATCTTAAAATTCCAGGTACACACAGCCTTCAAAAGGCCTTCATATTGGTGTGAATATTTCTATGTATTAAATACAACTTTAGACCTCATTCCCAGCCTTCAAATGGGGGTGGTCCCAGCCTCCCTGGACGGATGATCTTTTCCTGAGCATGCTTTGCTCTTTCTTGCTTCCAGACTCCAACAAATCAGGCTCAGCTCCCACGCTAGACTTTCCTTCTTCAACTCTGAAAATCCTATTTTGCCTCCATAGCTCAGCCAGATCCCACCTCCTCCACAAAAGCTTTCGAGAAAGAACCCCCACCTCTAAAAGAACACCTTTTCCTTCTGCCCCACCCCCAGCTCCAGCTGGATCACGGCATTGCCTTTTCCACCGAGTGTCCCCACACCAGTCCCTCATTCCTGCGTGGGCTGCGGTTGCAATTTATTCACTTGTCTTCCCAGAAATGATACAGTCCGCTACCCTTGTTTTGCAGACAAGGAAAGAAAGGTTCAGAGAAGCCAAGTGCTTTGCTCCAGATCACACAGCTAGCTAGAGCCAGTCCTAAAACTCCCATCTCCTAATTTCCACCTGGGTGTTTTTTCTAGAAGGGAGGTTGGAAGGCAAAAGGCAATTTCTAATTTGATAAACAAGGGAATACATTGTTTTAGAGGTTATGTCCAAATGTTAGAAAGAGGTTCAGGTCAGCGTGGGTATCCACTCTTAAGTCTCCGAAGAAGGCACAGCTCCCCCACTTTCATGCTCAGCAACATAAGACCGGGATATGTTCCCTGAGGTCTGAAAACCAAAGACTGATACGAAGAATGATTGGTGGGAAGGACAGCTGTTAGAGTTGGTTTCAGATAAACTAAACTTGCAGGATTTATGACTATCCTTCATGAGACGAATGGATGTTTTGAAGATCTCTGAGTATAAGACAAAATGTATCTTCCCATTTCTTTTGCAGTTGGAGGCCGATGACTGTGAACAAATAATTCTTCACAACACATTGTGGCAAATGAAGACTGTATCATTCTCATAAGCTACAGAACTCAAATATTTTTAAACTATCCATGCTGGGCATAGAAGGTTTCATTTTCCTTGTGTGTGTGTGTGTGTGTGTGTGTGTATCTCAATACAGGTAGTCAATGTGTATGTGTTAATTTCCATAGAAGTGTTGGGCAAAAAAATTATCAACAATTCCTTCCATTCAGAAGATCCATTTATGTGTCATGGAAAGTGCTAAGTATTTGACCAGAAGCTTGTAATTTGGACCCTATGAAGGAGGGGTTATCATTAGCCCCATCTTCCTGACTGAAACACTGAGGCTTAGAGAGGCAAGGAACTTACTCATGATCACACAGCTAGGAAATCATGGAGGCAAACATGGAACTCAGACCATCTCCAGCCAGAACTCGAGAGTATATAATGTCTTCCTAGAAGGTGTAATTTATAAAAGGATGGCATATTAAGTAAAATCAACAGCAACAACAAAAAACCCACAAAACATATTGACATGGAGTCAAGATATTTGGATTCAATTGCTGGCTAATCACAAACTCTGATATCTTGGGAAAGTCATTTACTATCTCTGAACCTCATCTGTGTCCCTCCTCTGTTAAATGGGATAATAATTAAACTCTCACGGGGTGGTGGTGGTGGTGAACATAATATCAACTAAAGCAGGTGAAATGCTTTATGAAAGCACAAAATGAATGCAGGATATTGTAGGTTTGGAAATATGTCATCACAGTTAGAAACAATGTACACCATTAACAGCCCTAGCAAGTAATCACAAGCAAAGTCTTCGTGAGACTTTGTTCTCATCTTCATTTGCTGAACAATCTGAAGGTAAGCTTCACGGTGCCCCATGGTGACTGAGGCAATGTCTCACAAAGTCTCAAAGCTGAACCCAGAAATGGGCTTGTGGACTTCAGGCTACTCTTCTTCAGGGAGAACTGGCACATCCAGGGCCAGAATTCATAGACTCAAACTCAACAGTTATTTTACTCTTCAACCAATTCTATGTGATTCTAACACGGAAATGAAAGGCCTTCCAATGTACAATTTTGGAAATAGGTAACCAATTTCCATAGTGACTGACATTAAACACTGCCCCCCCACCCTGTGCTACAAGCTTGGTATGGATTTGGTTATTAATAAAGGCCAATCTGATGCATATATTCAAGTCCTGGTAAACACAAGTCGAGAAGTAACTAGGAAGGCAAACCACCCTTCGTTATCTCTGGAGGTGTTTCATTCTGCTCCTTCACTGACCTATTAAGCTTTATTCTTGAATATACATGTACTTGTTTGCATTTCCCTCCATAGCTAATACTGAACATTACTCTAGGGAAAGAGGAGGATTATGAAAGATTTTGGATTTAATTATTATAGCAGCACCGTTCACACCCACTGCGGTAAAAGTAGTCTCAGCAGAAAAATGGTAAGTTCTTTTCACGAGGTCACAACTCCATAGACAAATTCATCACACACTGGGTATCCCACAATGTGAGAGAATCATGCTCACATGTATGCCTGTGTGTATAATCTTAAAAAATGACAATTGTTCTTCTGCTTTTCAGTTAGATGAAAACAGAACAAAGTAGGCCTCCTTAGTGACTTTAGATATTTGTTCAGGATCTGGTAGTTCACGGTGCCCGTCTTTGCGTGAAAACGCTCTGGTATTTATTTTTACCATGACTTATAATTTCTATATTATTTTTTTTGTCTCCAATATTTATTTACCTCTTTAAAATCACTTCCTTCTTTCACATAGAAATGTACTAACTTTCCTTAAAAGAACATAAGTTTACACATACGATATATTTTGCCATCACAAAAGTGCCACATTTACTCTTTATTAGGCAGGCACTGATTTATATATTTTTTATGTTTTTAGCTCATTTAATCTTTGCTACATCCCTATGAGGTAAGCATTATTATTTTAAGACCTGTAGTATCCCACATGATCGCAAGTTTATTTTTTTTTCTTTTTATTATGTTATGTTAGTCACCATACAGTACATCATTAGGTTTTGATGTAGTGATCCATGATTCATTGTTCACATATAACACCCAGTGCTCCATGCAGAATGTGCCCACCTTAATACCCATCACCGGGCTAACCCATCCCCCCACCCCTGTCCCCTCTGAAACCCTCAATTTGTTTCCCGGAGTCCATAGTCTCTCATGGTTCATCTCCCCCTCTGATTTCCACCCCCCCGATTTCCACCCCCCTTCATTTTTCCCTTCCTTCTCCTAATGTCCTCCATGCTATTCCTTATGTTCCACAAATAAGTGAAACCATATGATAATTGTCTTTCTCTGCTTGACTTATTTCACTTAGCATCATCTCCTCCAGTCCCATCCATGTTGATGCAAATGTTGGGTATTCATCCTTTCTGATGGCTGAGTAATATTCCATTGTATATATGGACCACATCTTCTTTACCCATTTGTCTGTTGAAGGGCATCTTGGCATCAATCAATGTGATAGAACACATAAACAAGAGAAGAGACAAGAACCACATGGTCCTCTCAATTGCTGCAGAAAAAGCATTTGACAAAATACAGCATCCTTTCCTGATTAAAACTTTTCAGAGTGTAGGGATAGAGGGAACATTCCTCAAGTTCATAAAAACCATCTATGAAAAACCCACAGCAAATATCATCCTCAATGGGGAAAAGCTGAGAGCCTTTCCTTTAAGATCAGGAACACGTCAAGGATGCCCACTCTTGCCACTATCGTTCAACACAGTACTGGAAATCCTAGCAACAGCAATCAGACAACAGAGAGAAATGAAAGGTATTCAAATTGGCAAAGAAGTCAAACTCTCTCTCTTCACAGATGACATGATCCTTTATGTGGAAAACCCAAAAGACTCCACCCCCAAATTACTAGAACTCATCCAGCAATTCAGTAATGTGGCAGGATACAAAATCAATGCACAGAAATCAGTGGCTTTCTTATACACTTACAGTGTAACTGTAGAAAGAGAAATTAGGGAATTGATTCCATTTACAGTAGCACCAAAAACCTTAAGATACCTTGGAATAAACCTAACCAAAGAGGTAAAGGATCTATACTCTAGAAACTACAGAACACTCATGAAGGAAATTGAAGAAGACACGAAAAGATGGAAAAATATTCCATGCTTATGGATCCGAAGAATAAACATTGTTAAAAGTCTATGCTGCCCAGAGCAAACTATACTTTCAATGCCATCCCAATCAAAATACCAATG